AATTTTCAATTCATACGCTCTGAATGTAAGGCTTTAATTAGATTTGGAGTAAATGTTGATTTATTAAAATTAATATTATAGTTCATTGAGGCTTATGTTAATTAATCGATAGGTATTAGTGTTTAATAGAAGAGAAATGAATGAACAGAACAGAGAGTTTGTTCATCAAAGGGGAGAAGAAGACAGACCTTTCATAACGTTTAATATGTTTGTTGAGTTCGCTTTGTTCGTTAATGAGTTGCATTTGTTGTGTTGATATCACATCCAATTCATTCTGCTTAACTGATTGAGAAACTTTCAATACGTTTAGTAACCGGAGAACATCAACATCAAACTCGAGAAGCACAACCCGCGGGTTACTGAAGTTGACTAGGTGTTAGCGAAGGTTGGCTAGGAAGTTATACACATGAGATCAATGAATACTCATTCAAATAATGCATACAATTTTAAATATAATTTATAATAATTATCAAGAATTAACAAACGTTTGTAAAACATAGTTGCATAAGCATTTAAAACAAAATTATATTTAAAATTATCTTAATAATTTACATCAATATATAGTTATAATCTCATCGTAGCGTAGGGCAAATCGAGAGCAAAAAGGGTACTATATAGTTATAGTTATAATGTTTAATATGCTTAAAATGATCGAGGTAAAACATTAAGTACGTCCCATTATGAACAGGGCCAGAGACGATATGGTTATAATTACTATTCCAATAGGATTTAGATAAACATTAAAATAAATACAATAAGAATATTGAATTATACTATCGATATCTTTATACCATATTCTATGAAATCTTAATCGCTTTATTCAATAGAATATGTACTAAAATAATGTTCCGTTCATTATCTAAAATAATTGTTAATTATTTAAAGTCAATAAAAATAACTATGGTAAAAGCTAAGTGAGTCCAAAACCAAAAGTAATTGTTCGGCGCTTTTACAGTATTAGTGGAAAAAAACGTTTTGAACTCAAATTATTGTAAAATTAGCGGTAATAAGAAAATATTGATAAAATTAGAGACCTGTTTGCGTTTCCAGTCCTCATCGGAGAAATGTTTGATGTCGTGGACTGAGTTAGGACTAGACTCTGTGCGGCTTCTCTTGCAAGCACTCGGATCCGAGTCGTCGTATGCTTTTGTACAGCTCTGAGATCTAAACAGTTTTTTACAAAAAAAAAGTTAAAACAATTTAATAATAAAGAATATTAAATGACATACGAGTGGTCATACCTGGAGTGGCCCTTCGAGTACTGGTAACCGCTATCGCGTACGACCTGACGCGCCAATGGGAAGAGTTCGTCGCGACGGGACAGCAGTGCGGGTATGAGTTTGCATATCTGTGCCGCCGCTTCATTCACCGACACCTTTTCAGAGAGAATATTTTATGCAATTTTTACACTCAAATGTTATCTTCAATTATCTTAATTTTATTAGATTTCTGTATAAACTGTGAAAAAGTGTGTAAAATATTTAGTGCGACAGAAAGTGCCATCAAAATGATGGTTAATAAGGCTCTTATAATGTATGCACAAAAAAGCTTATAGTTTGAGCATTCAATGCATGTATTTATAGATGTGCTGATATTAAGTATGAAATAGTGTTGAGTACTGAACGCCTACTCGAGAATAATAATTATATAATAAGATGAAAGAGCGAGAGAGTGAGACTCACCTCATGTAATGTAAGCGGCTTTTCAGGCTTTCTCTTGCAATCAAAGCGACCATAAATTGCTGCATATTTTCGTATTTCATCCATACGTCTGGGGTCCTCCTCAGGCATGTTCATTACGTACTGCTCATCAAAATTAAACAAAAACCATATATACTATACTAACTATCTATCTATATGTACAATATATATACGGCATAAGAGCTCTCAACTAATCATTTTGTAAGCAATTGAGAAAATTTCTAATTTCAATATAAAATGAAAAGCTTTCGAAGAAATGAAAAGTTGTTTGCAATTAGAGTTACACTATATTTGTTGAGTTATTGCCGAGAATTGATTCACATTTTTTGAATCCAAGTCTTACTTGATTTGGGAACTCAGCCGTCGTTTTAATCAAGTTATCAAAGCATAAACTAATGGTATTTCTATTAATGATGTTTTGTCTGAATTCTAATTTACATTTATATATAACTTTTCACTTTAAACTGATTTGTTATGACAGACTATTGGACTGTAAATCACAATAAAAGTGTAATTTTGTGGCTCTAATAAAATAAGTTGATGTCAACTCAGATGTGCTTTATGTTAATGTTATGTCAAGTGACAACCTGTAGATCCCTTGTATGAATACTTTACGAATATATTATTATACGGTTTACACATTCTCTCTCTCTCTCTCTCTCTCTCTCTCTCTCTCGCTTTCACCCACTCACTCACATTCACACAATATATATAATTTTAAACCTAAATTAATAGTCACTAAATTGACATTTGTTTGACTATAATATATGACAGAATTAAATCTAGGAAAAATTATTAATGTTATTTTTTAACATGGATAATTATTTGATGAGTTATTCAATGAGAAGATAACTTAAAATTTTCTTAAATTAAAAAAACTATCTTAAAATCAATCAATTCTCTATTGATATGCAAATGAATTAATTGTAAAGTAATGTTAAAATTGTGTTCTTCTTTTTAATTAGAAATTTTCATTTGAGACATAAAGGGTTGGAAAATACTATCACAACACAACACAATACTGTATAATACACAACTCTAACTGTCATTTATTTTTTACTATTATTTTTAAGGGAATGAGAGAGAGAGAGAGAGAGAGAGAGAGAGAGAGAGAAATAAAAAGCATTACGAGATGAATATTGACCCAACCCTTCCAACCCTTATTAGTTGATTTCGATTAGTATGTGGAGAGAGAGAGAGAGAGAGAGAGAGTTCAAATTTGAAGCGCTAATGTATTGCTAATATTAAACTCTGTATTTGATGTATAACTCGAATGAAAGGAGAGAGTGAGAGAAGCAGAAAGAAATGAATGATAAAAGAGTGGATATTTTATTTGAACGCTTTTGGGGAAAGAGTGAAGGCTTTAGAATATGTTTTAGACATACAGTAGAGTTGGGAAGTGAAGGGTATATAGGAATCAATAGAGGAGTGCGAGAGAGAGAGAGAGAGAGAGAGAGAGAGAGAGAGAACATTGAATAATAAAAAGCATTACGAGATGAATATTGACCCAACCCTTCCAACCCTTATTAGTTGATTTCGATTAGTATGTGGAGAGAGAGAGAGAGAGAGAGAGAGAGAGAGAGATCTAGATTTTAAGAAAATAATAATAATATTCATCTAAATGTTTGTCACAATTGTGCAAAATATAATGGAGTGGTGTATATATTAAGGAGAAATTTTGGGGCTTTTCCGAAACGAACAAAAATCAATGGAAATAATCATAAAAAACAAAATAATAATTTCTCTCTTTGAATGTAAGGGAGGAAAGAAGAATTGATTGAAATGACTTCAATGACGTCAAGATATTGTGGGAATGAGGAGAGAGAGAGAGAGAGAGAGAGAGAGAGATTGGAAAATGAGATTGAGAGAAGACTTGGAGTCTTGGATTGATGATCAGCTTCTCTACCACTACGAGAGCTTTGAGTCTAACTATGCCTTTAATGTGCATTCATTTGGGGATAATATTTATCAAAATCTAGTTTTTGGTGAATAATGTGTATAAAATACTGCAATTCTTTTCATATAACATATTGTTTAAAACTTTTGTTAAAGTTTAGCAAAAATAAGTTAATTACAAAAATATATTGTGAACACAATAACCGCACAACACATATGAGACAATGTGTTGCAAACTCTGGTCATAGACTCGATAGGCATTCATAGACTTACTTCCAATTCTTTACTGATTCTCTTTTTATTGTTTCCCAACTGAGGCTTCGGATCCATTGGCGGCAGGTTTTTGACCAACATTTCGGCCACTTCTGACAGACGCGAGATTTGGCTCTCAACCAGAACTGGTGTCAGTGTTATTGGACTACTCGGCTGACTGTACTCACTGCACATCATTGCCGACGACACCTATCAAACCAAACATACCATTCAATCCCGGTATTAATATTCAGTTTTTGCTATAAGTTATGCATTCATTTATCACTTAATCTTATATTCGGCTCAATTATAAGTAAAATATCATTTCGTTTCTAATTTATTAAGATTTTAGATCAAGAAATGAAAAATATTATAATAAACCTAAAATTTATTTTCCATAAAATTGTTTTCATTGAAAAGGGAAGAGCTAAAGCTGAAGGGAAAAGCTACCCTAGTTTGAAAATGTATTTATTCACAGTTAATATTCAAATTATTAGTTAAAATCTAGATTTTAAGAAAATAATAATAATATTCATCTAAATGTTTGTCACAATTGTGCAAAATATAATGGAGTGGTGTATATATTAAGGAGAAATTTTGGGGCTTTTCCGAAACGAACAAAAATCAATGGAAATAATCATAAAAAACAAAATAATAATTTCTCTCNATACCGGGATTGAATGGTATGTTTGGTTTGATAGGTGTCGTCGGCAATGATGTGCAGTGAGTACAGTCAGCCGAGTAGTCCAATAACACTGACACCAGTTCTGGTTGAGAGAGAGAGAGAGAGATTGTAATTTGGTTGTCAGGGGTAGGGTTGAAGGGAGAGTAAAGCGATGGAAAGGGTTAGGAAAGTGAATAGTAAAGCACTTTTTGGTAAAATGTAAGTTTCTATGCCTTCGGGTCTTTAATTTATTTTTGCAGATTATATTAGTTTTTTAACTTTTGTGATCAGTTTAACACAACAGAGCTTTTGCATTATATATAAAACTAATGGAAAGCATCATAACTTGAGTATCAATTGGATATTTTACTATAAATAACTAAAAACTAAACTTTAAAATGAATATCATTTGTTTAAAATGAGATCATTATTTGATGTCCTAATGGAAAGCTATTTCATTGGTCTATAAGTGGTTTGAATATAACTTGGGTTTCATATTATGGTTAATCATTATTTAATAAAAACGTTATTTTAAAAATTAAATAAATAATAACTGTTTAATTTATAGGTTAACAACAGTTTATTATCATAAATACGATTAAAGTGTTTTTAACAAAAGTATTAAAACTTTTAATCGGGTTCTAAAGGGTTAAGGAATGCAATTAAAAAATATCTAATTTGAATAAAAGATCTCTTTTATGGTTAACTAAATAATGAATGAATAAATGTTTCGTGTATTTTAAAGACAATGCCCTAAACGTACAGAAGTCATGTCAGACAATAGCATACAATGAGTTTTAGGACTCGCACGCAGACATTTTACATACAATCAAGACTACCGTATCTGCCCTTAAGAGTACAGTTACTACTGATGTATGGCTAAAGTGTGCTGAAGTGTAAGAGTGTAGTTCCTCTTCCATCCACCGACTCATCTATTATTACATACATATTCAGTGAACACATTCTCCCCTCAAGACTATCCACTCGTTCAGTATATTCTCAAAACAAAGTACTCTTTTGAATCAAAAAACAGCAAAAAGATTGTAATTATGAGAAACGAGTTCTACTGTAAAGTTGGCCCAAATATAAGCTGAAGTACAGGAATAGAGGTATTGAGCGAAAGCTTTTGAAAGAAATGCAACGAATTGTGTGAATACCTGATTCATGTATTGATTTAATTGGTTCTGAGAATGAAGTGTTGACGAAGAGATGATCTGCTCTTTACCACTATTAGGCGAAGGCGTCGAATGATTACTATTGCAGCTCTGGGTTACAGTTGATGCGATCGGAGGACTCGTTCTCATCCCTACCGGAGATGTTTGCGATGCGGAAAGTGCTAAAGGACTCGGTCTGCTCGCCATCGCCACCGCCAACTGATTCAATAATGCGTGACTCGATGGCGGCATCAGACCTGATCCACTACTGGCTGGAAATGTTGGGACAATCGGTGATTGAAACATTGCTAAAGTAATTAAATGGTTTTAAGCTTCCGTTAGTTGTCTGTATTTTATTTCAACATTTTCCACTAAAATTTTTATAAACTTATTGAAATGTATTTTACTTATGTTTTATAGTGATTCTGTATATATTTAAGAGCAATAAACTCATATTGTCGGTCAACCCTTTATCCCTGTCCCTAGAAATGCTTGTACTATTTATTTGAGCAATATCTAATAATTGTGTGCCATTTATATATTGATCAATTTGTTGATGCAATTCTTACCGGGATTTGTCACCCATTCCTGAAGTGCTTTCTGTAAGCGGCGGACGTGTAGAGGTTTGCTGGCCATACCTACCAATGCCATAATCTCAAGAAACTCTTCTTCTCCGGCTTCACAGAGTTGTTGGACGTCATCGCCTCCTAACGAAAACACAGGCAATACTTAATTGTATACATTCGCCACTTAAGTGCTAGGCTTGCAGTGTTGGGTGCGATACTCATAACGAGATGATCTGTTATATGAATGAAAGTATGTATACCTTGACATATAAAAGTGTCGTAATATAACAGGAGGTTAGCTCTCTGTAGGACTCGATAGAGTTGTAGTTCGGATTCATTTGCCGGTTGGGAAGTCATAGCAACTGTTGGGATAACATAATGAGATAATTTTATGTGTTTTAATATAAAATATTTTTCTAAATATATTTTAATGTCTATTGAATTAATGCATGAATTAGTTGTAATTCTTTATGTATTTAGAAGAATAAGATGTGATAAGTTTATGCATTGTTTTAAAAGTTACATAAATATAAGACTCAACAGAATATTCAGTATTATATGACATAATGTACTGGAGATGTGCTGAATATGCATTACAATAGAGAGTATACAGTATGAGTGCAGTTCACAACGCATCCAATACTGCAATTGTTTTTATGCATAAAAATAATGGAGAAATATATGCATAAAATACAAGAGAAGAGAGACTCGGAGTAGAGAAAGAGTTAGAGGAGAAGAGAGTGAGTGAAATGCAAAATGAATTGTTAGCCAAACAGCGCATAACGAAACGACGGCCTTAATAACGGCACTACACATACAGTATTAGTATTTTCTAAATGAAAGCAAAGGCAGTGCAAAAACTGCATGATTACAACCCTTGCTTTTAATTGCACTGAGAGAGCAGTGAATGCACCGATCGATACAACCAAGTGATGAAGAAATAAGAGAAAACTATGTGCTATTGGGAGAGAGAGGGAGAGACAAAAGGAAAGTAAAGGATTGGCTGAAGTTTATGCCATCAATTGAATTTTCAAAGTAAACCATAGCTTAATGAAAAAGTATTATAAGAATCGCTCATTTTATATATCAGCAAAAGTTACGAATATTTAACACAAAAAAATTCATTTCTGTTTCTCAAAGCCATCAAAAAGGTTTTCACTTGTATTTCGTCGGCTAATCGTAATTCACAGATGAATCACATTTTTGCAGATCTTTTCAAAAGACGGTTTCCCAGTTCCCGATCATAAACGCTCACCCCTTCCACCCCTTTAACCCCTTTTACCCCATTTATCCCTTTTACACTTTTTTCGACCATTTTATAAATTCTCCTTTCATTAGAAGTAAATTTGAGATAATTTTTTTGAAAACTTAAATTATTGGTCCAAAAGTTGAGCTCAAATACGGTCTTAAAAGAGCCGAATTGTCTGTGAAAGACACACACGTCTGTCCTTGAGTTGATCTCATTGGAGATACAGTGTTAGCCAGTGTTAGCCTTCCTGAATACCGTCCCATTTGAGTGCAATATATCGGAGACAAACACGTCTTTGCATATATCGTCAACTTCTCTATTCATTGCACACCTCATAGTGTGTGCAGACATACACTTAATGCAAGTATTACTGACTTATGGCTGGAAAATGGATATTATTATAAGACTTGGTTCGCAAAGTCTGCGCTTTGGAGGTAAGACCTAATGTGGAAAAAGTCTCATCAAAGCAGACCATTGGAAAGCAGGAAGAATTGCATTCATTACAATGCATTGCATTACAAACACATTCAACCCTTTATATACTCTTTGAGATAAATACAAAAAATTCACTAAATATTAGATTTGCTTTAGATATGCGATATATTTCACTGCATTTATGGTATTTGTGTGAGAAATGAATGAAGATTTGCAAAAACTATTAATATTATAATGAATGAGATATGTTTGTTACATGAGAGGAGAGTGTGAGAGAGTGAGGTAAAGGGAGAGTCAATGCGAGAGAGAGAGAGAGAGAGAGAGAGAGAGAGAAGCAGCAGAAGCAGTGATTGTATGTGTGATACTACTAGTGGTACAAGTTTTTTATTTATAAAAATGGTATGACTGACGACTGCGCCGATAAATTAGTCCCTACCCTAGAGGGGGACATAACCAATGTTACAGTACATCTCCACCTCCATCGCTGAGACACGAAAGGCTATGTCTAATACTTTTTTGTCCGTCCTTTTGATTCTTTTTAATGATTATATTCCTCTGGTTAGGGACGGGTTATATCGACTCAGCCCTTGGGTAATGCACTTACACTTACATTACTTCCACACGTATTGCCTGTCGGGGAGAGAGTAGCTGTTCGTCGAGATCTATGAATCCACTCTGCCTTACATCTCGTGATTTATCATCAGTTAATTTTACAGTTTTCTACAAAACACGGACTAATTTGCAACAAATTAAAAAAGTTTTGTTTTGTAATTTTCAAAGTGTGATAACTATTGCCTAATTATATTCAGTCCATAATCCGATGGACTGTTTGTGAAAGTGAACGCAACTCTTTATGAAACTTATGTCGTGATAACACTTGTGACAAAACATAGAATATATATTTTTCCACACAATTTGTATATATTGTCCGTTGATATGATTTTTCGGTAAGTGTTAACAAATCTTATATTTTTGCTAACTTTTAATTACAAATAAAGAATTTTTTAATTTTGTAATCTATGTAATATACAACATAGTTAATGCACATGAATTATGGTCTATTATAAAGTATTACTATTTCTATTTTAACTTCTTATAAAAGTGCGAAAAGGGTTGAACAATATAAGTATAATTTGGTTAAAGTTATAATAATTGACGTATTTATTAAAGTAATCAAGTGGTGAATGTCTGTTCAAAATATTACTTTTAATTAACAATATGTGACTGTAATTCACATAAATTGATGAATTAAACTTAAATTTACTACTTTTTAAACAATGGTTTTGGGAATTAATTTTTGGTATAAAAGAATAAAAAGTTGAAAAACAATTCAATGTTTTAAAAAGTATTCGTCCGAAGAGATGGCATAACAAGCGCTTTATATGCTTTCATATCCTCTTTTGTATCCATCAATGCATTCAATTTGCACTTCAATTCAAGTCTTGAATATTCTTTTGTTTTTTTCTAATTTAAAAAACTTAAAATGAAACTACTTTTACATTATTTTTATTAAAATTTTATGCAGTATTAATATAACTATGCAATCTCTCTCTCTCTCTCTCTCTCTCTCTCCACTCTTTCTGCCTTCGCTTCGATGCAGC